CAGGTAAGAATCTCTCACCTTATTTTCTGTTATAGAATTAAAGTTTAATAATCGATAATATGGTATTTTGTCTAAATTATAAAACTATAAGAATAATTATAGATTACTAATAGAGACAAAATCGGTTAGTCATTTATTTTTTGTCCTTTGTAACTGATTGTTGAATTTATAGTTTTAAATACATGATGATATACTGTAATGGTTAAATGATTCAATTGTGCTTCCTTGATATATATATTGCTTATCTTACGTGATTTACGATTAATTTGTAAAATTTAAAAATTAATATGCAAACAAAAAATTATTTAGTAATGTGAATTAATAAATGATAGTCTTACTGGATATCTTGAGAGATAGTAGATGGAATGGGTACATAGAGAATTCTACTGTGAAAGTTGTTTAATACTGGATGGGGTATCGAAAAATAGTACGTTTTTCGCTCATATCGGACGGGGTATGGGGACGATCCGATTCACCCTCATACCGGACAAGATATTGATGAATGATATTTTTGGCGCTCATACCGGACGGAGTATGAGGATGACCGATTAGTTGACAATGTTAGATATTGGTTCACGCATAGTGAGACATCTCTATGGGCCCCCAGAGATACCAATAGGTAAATAAAAAGGAAATGTTATTGTTCTTACTCACTTGAATATGAGATTGAAATGTTATTTGAGTTATTATCTCTATAGGTCGATTTTGAAAATCTCGCAACGGTAAATATATGCAATAAAATATTTTTCTTATGATAAATGAATTTACTTAAATCAAGAGCTCTATTGGTTGTTTTTATAATTTTTACCAATCTTCAGTTTCTCTATCAGTGAGTAGTGTTATATTCTTACTAAATTAGTGTAGCTCACACTTTCATTAATTATTTTAGATCAAGAGGACCAAGACCCAGATATCGATCAATAAGAGAGTTGTGAATAGTTTATCACCTGAACTCCCTTCAAAAGCTAGTAAATGTCGTTATAGAATGCTCAACATATTGCATTTTGCTTATTTCTTTGATTTTTGTTTGTGCTTTTAGAAAGAATATTCTCGTAACCCTACTGGACATTCTAAATTAATGTGTAAGGTATGTAAATCCTAAACTCTATTATTTCACTTTCGCATTTAATTCATAACTTTATTATTTTTTAAGTTTCGGACCTTTACATTAGTTTAAAATAAAATAGTGATTATATAAAGAGTGGGAAAAGAAAAAACAACGCTTATAATTTTATGTTTAATTTATTGATTTCTACTTTATAATTATTGTTAAATATATTTTTTAACCTAAATAAAATAAGAGAATAATATCTCGTCCGATTACAAAATTGAGTCTGTGTAATACCCTAAATTTAATTTTAATGTAATTTAAGATTTATTTATAAATATAATTTCTTTTCAATTTTTAATTTTAATTTAGAGTAAAAAAGGAAGTAAAATTGATGGAGGATGAAATTGAAAGCAATTTTGAGGAAAAATGGTAAAAATTTGGGTTCTGAGAATATTTTTGAAAGAAAATTTGGAAATTATAGGTCAAAACATAATTTAAAAAAAATTACCACATAAGATGTCCAATCAATAGCCTCGACGAAGCAGGACGTGTCACGTGGCAACGGACACTAATGCGGTGCCATGCGGGGAGCCACGTGGTCGATCCGCGTGCCCGCGATCGAACGACACAAGTCCATTCCTGCGCGCACGGACGACCTGGATGCGCACCCTCCCAAACACGATCGAACGGCCCCGGTCCGTTCCCGCACGCACGGACGGCCTAGATGTGCTCCCTCCCAAACGCAATCAAAAGACCAGATTCAAACGCAATCAGACGGTCCATATTAGATCGCGATAGACGGTTTAGATTAGATCACGATGGACGGTCCATATTAGATCGCGATAGACGGTTTAGATTAGATCACGATGGACGGTCCAGATTAGATCGCGATGAACGGTCCAGATTCACTTCCTATTTAATCGTGATCGGATGGTCCAGATCAAACGCGATAGACGGTCTAGATCAAAAGCGGACGGATATAAATAACTCTCATTCGCACCCAAACCCTAACCCTAGCCGCCAGAACTCTTCGCCGGAGAAGAAGATCTAGCCGCAGGGAAGGAGCCGCCGCCATCCGCCGCCGTACTGGAACCCTTTCCGACTGTCGAAAAAGGTAAAAACTTTCTATTTTGCTCAAAATTTAATTTTAAGCTCACCCATGGCCATATCGGAGCAAAAAGATCGGTTAATTAGCCAAAAAATACCAGTGAAGTCTGGCAACGCTGCCGCAGGGAATTTCACAAAACGCCTCCGATGAGGCCCTTCCCGATTCTCATTATGTGTAATTTTTTCACTGTTGTGATCACCTTGTCCTTCTCTACAGATTGACTGGAGCAAAACACCCAACCGCAACGTGAGTCGGAGGAGCCGCCGCACTAGAGAGCCTCGCCACCGGTAAGTTTTAATTTTTTATATTTTTTGGCCAATAGAGACCCTTTAACATGTTATTTACTAGGGATCGATGCAAAATCGGCCGAAAATAGTCGACCGAGGTGGACCACTGTCGCTGAAATTCTGAAATTGGCTGAGTGGGCCATGGGTCTGATTTTTGGGTTTATTTGGGACACTTGTAGGTACCGTAGTGCATTTCAGTTCCCGAAGAAAAATTCAGGGAATCCAAGGACCGTCCGTAGGCGCAGTAACCATCTAGTTTTTGGCGTCAAATTAGGTAAGAACCCCCCCCCCTATTTCCTATCATAGATGTGAAGTTTGAATAAATAATAATACGGTATTTTGTACAAGTTAGATAAATATACATAATTAATTACAGATTACTAATGGAGCCCGAAATCGGACATTGTTCTTTGTTAATTCTTGTTGATTTATTTTACAGTTTAAAGGCATGATGGTATCTGGTCTTAGAGTTTTAAATGCATGTATTACTGTATTACTTGACCACTGTGTGATTTTGAAAATTAATATATGATTGTATTACCGGGTATATGTTCATTGTTTATGTGATTGTGTTTAATTTGATAACTAAGATTAAGAATAAACAGGAAAGGGATGTGATCTAATAAATAGATAAGGTGACAACCTCACTAAATATCTTGGGAGATGGTGAACGAACCGGGTTTATAGGGAACCCTACTGTGAACGTTGTCTTATACTGGACGGAGTATAGAGACTTGGTCATTCGGTGCTCATACCGGACAGGGTATGGAGACGGCCCGCTTCACCCTCATATCGGACGGGGTATTGAGGTTTAATGCCTTGACGCTCATACCGGACGGGGTATGGGGACGGCCCTAGAATTAAGATTGTTAATGGAAATGGTTCACATATAGCGGAGACACTCCTATGGATCCCCATAGATACTAATAGGCTGATAAAAAAATGACAATTGTTGTTTGATGATTTGAATATAAAAGTATAATATGTGTTATGTTATATATTTTATATGAATTCATGATATTTATAATGTTATTATTTCCATAGGTTGTTTTTATAAATCTCACTGCGGTAAGTGGACGGTAAATGATTTGATTATTGATAAATGAATTTGTTTAAAATTTAGTGCTCTATTAGTTATTTTGGTTTTCTACCAACTTTTACTTCTGTGACGGCGATATATTGTAATGTCTTTACTTGGCTAGTGTACCTCACCCCTTATTTAACCATTTCAGATCAGAAAGACCCAGTTCTCGAACTCGATCCACAAGAAGGCTACGAGTAGATCCTATATACTTCATAATTTTCTTTATTTTTTATATTTTCGTATTTCTTTCAAAAAATTTGTTTCGTAATGTTTGTTAATACTTTTGAACTATTGTGTAAGAAATGTTGACCTTAACATTTATTTCGCTTCCGCACTCAAATTATATATGCATTTTTCTTTTAAATTTTTGGGGCCGTTACATTTTAAGTTTTATATAAATATTTAAATTATACACTATCAATAAATTGGACTTAAAGATTTGAAGATTGGCAATCAAGTCGAAGATATTGTCAAACTATTGGTGCTATGAACTTTGACATTAAAAGCAATATTAAAGCATATAGAGCTCAGTAATTTCAGGCTAGTATGATCTTAAACTTTATGATAATTAAATTTTGTGACATTATAAATTAAGATATCAAAGTATATGAGTTTGATGACTTCAGGCTAGTGTTGTTCTCCGATTGTGACATACAATTTCATCAAAGATTTGAATGGCTGAGTATTGTAATATCGAATGTTCTATTAAATAATTATTAAACTTCGTATAAAAGTTCAAATCACACGGTATTGATAATTTAAAATTTAATTTAAATTCATAAATCAAAATGAGTACAAAATATAAATATTAAATTTACAATTTCTAGAAATGTCTCCTTATTTGTCTAAAAGAGAAAGATACATTATTTTTCTAATAAAGTAAAATTGACAGAAAATTACTTTCTAAATTATTACTACTACTGTTCCAGCTTCTTCCAGGTCTCTACAACTTTGGCAAGAGACTTGGTGGATGATCCATCTTGGCTCAAAGCATTTAACGCCGAATCCTTGAACTCTCTCATCTTCTTCCTTACCATTTTCCCATCTTCTCCTTCCATTATTTCTCTCGCGTATCTTGAAATATCCTCACGCACCACTATACCTTCTTCGTTCTCTCTAACTCGAAATGCTACCTTCAAATCATCTGCCAGCAGCACTGCATTCATCCTCTGCTCTGCGTACAACGGCCATGCAATCAACGGGACGCCATTAACAATGCTCTCCAGTGTCGAGTTCCATCCGCAGTGTGTCAAGAATCCACCGGTTGAGCCATGACTCAGTATTTCAACCTGGGGCGCCCATGATGACACAACTAGACCCGACCCTTTTGTCCTCTCCACGAACCCATCTGGCAGGAAATGGAAATCTACTCCATCTTCATCGTCGTCGATGAAATAGCTACCGTGTTTAGCTTTTTCGTTTGGATTCCGAACAACCCAGATGAATCTTTGCTCGCTCATTTCTAGTCCGAACGCTAACTCAGTGAGTTGCTTTTGAGTTAGCGTGCCCCCACTGCCGAAACACACGAAAAGCACCGATTCGCTCGGTTGTTCTCCTAACCATTTCAAGCAGCCAGACTCATCAACCTCTTTGCTCGAACCGGTGCGTACCATTGGTCCAATTGGATAAATTGGAGGAACATCTGGTTCTTCCATAAATGCCTTAAACGTCTTCGTTTCCAACTCGAAGAAGCTATTGACCATCATCCCTGTCGCTAGTAAGGAGCGTCTGCTCCATTTTACAAATTCTTTGTACATAGGGCTTTTTCTATTTTGAATCGAGTCTGGAAAATCTGTACCATGAAGTGGAGTACACCCAGGCAAGATGACTGGTTCAGGTAAATCTTTGAACTGACATGAATACTTTTCGTCAAGCATTGGTAAATAAATAATCATCGAAAGTAACATTGCTGCTGTAGTAAAGTATATATAAGAGGGGACCTCAAATTCTTTACCCACATCCATATATTCCGGCCCGAGAAGGTCGACAACGAGTGCGACAACCCGGGTTGACTCAGTAAGGACTTTGAATGACTCTCTAAAAGCTTTGAAAGACCGAGTCAGGCACGTCATGATCCGAGTCTCGATCTGGGTATTCGCAGGCAAATCATTTAAGCACAGAGGAGGGAGAAAGATGGCAGAAATGGAAGTGGGTAAGGATTGGAATAGTCGTTTTTGGGAGTTCATGGGCGACCCATCACTGAGTAAAATGAATGTGACTTGTAAGCCGTGGTTGGAGACGAGGAGTTTGGCTAATTCTATGAGTGGGATCAAGTGGCCCATGCCTGGACTAGGCACTATCACAATGTTAGCTACTTTCTCCTTGGCGTTCTCCATGGTTGGTGTTTTGCAATAATGTATGAGCTCTATATGGCGCCGTGAAGTAGGAGATGAGGGATTGATTATATAGGTCTTCAAGACTCTGATTACTTCTGATTTTATAGCATGTTAATTCACCTATTGAAATAATTATGACAAATCAGATTCTTTCTGATTATATAGAACTCTTAAAAATCAGATTATTTATGAGTTGATACTCTTCCTATCTTTCTCTCTCTCTCTCTCTCTCTCTCTCTATATATATATATATATATGTATATATATTTCTGAGATGATGATAGAGGATAAGTTCAGAGTCTTTAAATCTATAATTAGCATTTTGCTATCAGATCTAAATATTTTTAGTGGGTTGATATCATATTAAATCATAATTAAAATAATTATTATAAAAATTTAAATTTAAAAGAAAACATATAATCAATTATTTATTTTTTCAAGTAGCATTCTTTATTTTATTTAATATGAAAAAATTCTATTGAAATGTTATAGTGTCTAAAACTAATTTGACTCCCTCTAAACCAAAAATAGTCTGAGATACAAAATTTTGTATATGATAAATTGAGGAATACATAGGTTCCAAGGATAAAAAAAATTTGTTAAAACAGGTTTGTATGTACCAAGCTTGGACAACTCTTTTTAATTTTTTAAATATTATGTCATATTTTTTTTGTATGCAAATATTATAATTTATTAAGACAAATATGATTTATTTAGTGTAGTCGCATTAACAAACTAATAATTTAAATATAAAATTCTATAAAATCAAATATTAAATATAAGATAAGATATTGAAATAAATATTATAAAAATCAAATTCTTCCTTATGATCTAATATTCTAAAATTCATATTTATTTTCAGTTAATGCTATACACACGATATGGGACAGGGCATAACATTTGACTCATTAACTTTTATAAAGTTTTGATATTTGAATTAAATGCTCTTGGCTAGTTGATACCATATTAAATAAATTATTATGAAAATTTAAGTTGAAAGAATATAATCTAACAATTATTTATTCTCTAACCAATATTATAAACTTCATTTAATGGAAGAAAATTCTAATGAAAAGTCAAAATATTTGAAATTAATTTGACTCAGTATAAACGAAAAAAATATATGACATACGATTTTATGTACGATAGATTAAGGAACGTATATGTGTTTGAACAAAATGTAGTTAATATTGACAAATTGCATGAATTCACTTTCTACTAACAATGTGTTGTGAGTTGTTGAGTTAGTATGAAATATTTAACTCAAGCAAGATGAACAAATTAAGAACAGGGTATCAACAAGAAAACAAACAATTGAAGGCCAAAGAATAAATTATTTTCAAATTGCTTATCCTCGTTAGAATTGTGAAAAATAACTCTTAAAATTATTTTTGAAACCAAAATTTACACATTGGAGAAATATAAAAAGTAAAAAATTTTATGATTTAATTTATTTGTATAATAGTAGATACGATTTGAAGAATCATCTCTATATACATAAAGAATATTGATTTTAGAGGCCGATATAATATCAAAAGTGATTTAGTAGAACAAAACTCAAAACACAAAGAAAACTACAATTTTAACGTTACATGTGATTGATTTATGTATTTAGTTCTAGCACGAACAACAACAAATTTTGAGTTAAATATCATTTGAATATTAATGATATTAGAAAAAGTATATCTTAAATTTTTACCAAAGTTATAAAAAAAAAAGTATTTTGTCAAAACAACTTTTTCAAAATTGACTAACATTTTAAGATTATATTATTAATATTTCAAAATACACCACAAAAAATTTCTTATACATTTTTTAAAATATTCTACTTTTTTGGAAGACAAATCAATTTCAAATTGTCTCTAGTGACATTTTTAATATTTTCAAAACAATATAAAGGTGAAACTATCCTTATGCCATATTTGTTATTAATTGTTTATTCTCGAGAATCCACCAATTTAAGAAATTATATCTGACTTCAGAGTCACTCTATTATATATAAGGAGAAAAAATTTGACTTCTGAGCCGAAATAGATTTAAGAATTCGATATGAATTTTGAGATTGAGTAATTATGAAATTTCTACATAGTCTAGTAACAATATTTCTATTACAATTCGTAAAAGAACCAAAGTACGTACTAAACATTCTCTTTATTATGTCTCACAATTTGTATCATTTGATAAATATTCACAGTTTCATAAAATTTTTCTTACAAGTTTGTGTAATACCCGAATCCAGAATTTAGTTCGATATTAATTTTAAAATTTTAAAAATTTATAAAAATCTAATTTTGAAATTAATAAAATTTAATTTAATGTAGAATTAGAAAAAAATAGGTTGATGATGAAATTGAAAATAATTTTAGGAAAAATTGGTGAAAATTTAGGTTCAGATGGTGTTTTTGAAAGTAAAATCAGAAATTGGGGGTTAAAACGTAATTAAAAAAATTCTATCACGTAGGACCGCCCAGTCAGCAATCTCGACGAACCGGAGTGTGCCGAATGACAAGGCAAGCTGACTTGGTGTCACACAAGAGGCCACATTGGCGATCCGCATGCCTTGCGATCGGACGGCCCAGAAGTGTTCCCGCGCGCGTGAATGGTTCGGATCCGTTCCCTCCTCAGGTGTGATCGGACGGTCGCGATTAAGTATAATGAACAGTTCAAATTCATTCTCTCTTTAAACGTGATCAGACGGTTAAGATCAAATCGTAATGAATGGTTCAAATTTATTTCCTCTTTAAACGCGATCATAAGATCTTGATTAAACGCGATGAACAGCCCAGATTTATGCAAGATAAACATAAATATTTCGCATCATACTGAACTCAAACCCTAGTTGCCAGCCTTCCATCGGAGAAGAAAAACTAGTCGTCGGAGAAAGAAGCTGACTCGGCGCCATATCGGAGCCACCTCCGACCGCCAAAAAAGGTAAACATTCTCCTATCCGCTCGGAATTTGATTCCGAGC